TTTTTTTCTGTAATGTTCTGGATGCTGTGTTCTCCATTTTTCTCTGTAGTGTCTAATGAATGCTCTGTAGTGTTTATTTTATTGACTCATGTGTGTGCGATCTGAGAGCACCATTTGGTTTTGAGTGCAAGTGAAATGGTTTTGCAGCGATTGTTTGATTTTGATGGAAGAGTCAGAGGTTTCGTGAATTTAGTTTGAGTATTCGGATTTGTGTTTAAGGTTTTGAGAAAATGAGTGGTGGTTTCAAGAAATGTGTTTTTAGCAATTCAGAAAAACTGTAATATGACAGCTTGTGTTGGAGACTCATCTCATTTCACTCTATAAATGAATGTGTTTGGATGTTCGCCAGTCTTTTGCTGTTTGGGAAACTCATTAGTCATGATTCAAAGCAAGTATTGCATGAAATAAGAATGGAAAATTACATTTTAAAAAGCTTGATGCTGGCTTGTCTGCATTTAGTCTGGATTTCCAATATGTTTTTTAGTTATAGTTCTCATATGCCTTCATGTTTAATTGAATTTGAGAATGTTTAAAAATAATAAGTCATACTATTCTGTAGAATTATATTAATTATATTGCATTATATAATCAGTATTATATACTAATGAGTGATTTCTATTTTGGAAAGGTGATTTTTAAAGTGCATTTTTGTGAGGAATTTTTTCTTTCTCTCGGAATATAAAGAATGTAGAAGTTTTGCTAATTTCAAACCTGTCTTCTCAAAACTCAAGTGAGGTCCCTTCCTGTTCTTTATGTTATTTAAAGTAATTATTATTTTGATTATGACAATTATGTTTGATTATTGAAATAATTGCTAGGATGGGGAAAAATTAAAAAAAAATGAAAAAATGAAAATGTTTTACATGCTCATATATGATACACATCCTACATATCATACATGTTCATACATTGTCATTTACAGGCCCATGAAAAAAATATTTAAACAGAAAATAATTTTTAAATATTATGGCAGTTTTGGTGTAAAACAAAATCTAATAATTTTTGAAAATTATTTTCTGTTTGAATATTTTTTTTCATGAGCATGTAAATGACAATGTATGAACTTTATATGAGCA